GTTATGTATTCTTATAATGTTGGCCCTGGATTTGGAGTTGCAAATAGCCACACCCTATGACTTTTTACCCGTGTTTCCCATCTCAAGGCAAAAAACAAGGCCACTGAAGAAGAACGTGACCTTTCCTTTACCCTCCAGGGCAAGGTAATACCAGCCGCACCCTTGAATTCCTCACCTGTCTTTGCCTCTGCTTTTCATGTTCCTTAGCTTTTCTCATCTCTACCTCCATTTGTTTCTCTTCCTCTTTGGCCTTCATCAGTTCCTTCTGGACCTGTCAACAGATACAAATCATTGGCAGACTTAATGAACACAAACTGGATGAATGGTACAATTGCAATCTATTCAAGTAAACTTAAATAATCAAGTCAAACAGTTTTCTAAATGTTACTGATTCGTGAGAGGCTTAAGAAACATGGATGGTTATTTGACACAAGCTAAAGGACCTCTCACCTTCCATGCATTCAATTTTTCAGCCTGTTCTCGTCTCTCGTCTTCCAATCTGTGAGCTCTGAGTTGTGCCTTCCGTTGTTCTTCTTGTTTCTTCTCATCGTCATCCAAAGCAACTTGAGTTAAGAACTCATCCTTCTGAGCCTTAAGGCAAGGGATTATCAGTGAAGGGTTCTCATGATAATATTCTCCACAGTAAAACTAAGGATTCCTCAAGTATCTGGGGTCTTCAGCAGAAGCAATATCTACCATTCTGGTTGCCCAATGAACCTCCTTTCAACAACAACTCTGGGCACCTTTTGCTTTTCAATTACCACTAATGTGGATGAACATAAATATCGCAGCATGAAAGAACAGAAGTGAAAGATGCATATGCAATTCAATGTTCCTTGAAAGTACAACTGGTTTTGGACATTTGTTGGTGTTTACCTCTTTGATGATCTTCCATTTCTGTATAGCATCTTTCTTCTTCTCTATCATAGACATGTACTCCTGGTACCAGTTTTCATGTTGTCGTACCTCAGTGATGTTACGACCTGGGATAGAGGTAGCTGCCTCGTCTAGAAAGGTAGCCCTGCCCTGATAAAAGCAAACAATAAGCTCTTCTACTACAGATGATCACAAATCGATAGATTTGGACGGGCGCACAAAAGAGCAAATTCTGAGAAAGTATTGCAATATAAATGACAATTATTAGTATCACACCGATTCAGATCAGGTTAAATGATAACCAGATGTGACTTTCATAAGTATTCAGAGTGACCAATACAGATATCCAACTTATCAGTGGCATTATTGCCCTCCTATGCTGAAGTCACTCTTTGGGTCAATTAGTCAGCTGCACAAAGATGCACACCTGTTTGATACTGTGCACTGCACCAACTATCCCTCACAGGAATATCAGCTTGCAGTGTCAAATAACTGTGCCTCACTGTTTCATGTGCAGAGATGTGCAGTAAACCAACTGCAGTGAAGAGGACTGCCCAAAAGACCCTGAGTCATTTTGTGCAGGCAACCAACCGTATGCAAATTGAACCCGTGCATATTTGTGTTCCATGTAAAAAATACATGCACGAGAGTGACTGTTGGCATTCATGCATATCTGTGCTGTTAAACCATAGAAGGGTTAATTCTAAATCCCTTCTTGCTGCATCCATGGTGTGATTATATGGACTGTGAAAAAATACCTTTGGTCATTACTTAGCAAAAAGCATCACTCTGACTTAATTCTTATGTAATGCTGAAAATTTAACAAATGACTGTGTCTATTCTAAATACAAAATTGCAGTCAAAGTACATGTTCTTGTGTACTGCTGATCACCAAGTAACCCCTTCAAAACTCTGGCAGTTTGTCAAAGAAATTGGTGATCTACCTTCAATACATTAATTAGACAGATAACATACACATGGAAATGGCTGCTTTTATCATTGAAGGTAGGGGGGTCATTCCTGTCAAAAGGAAACAACACAAATTTGTTCAAAACTTTGTTTAACTTTACTTGAATCTATAGATGCACACACACACACACACACACACACCTATCTGGCTCGTACACCAAGAGATACAGCTGTTCCCATAGATTTCTTTTGTGTATCTAACCTTGAATTTATTCCTGATTCTGAGGAAGGTGCCATGGTCATACTCATCCCAACCTCCTCTGTGGCCTCCTGTCTGCAGCAAAAACCTCTGTGATCAAGAAATTAAAACGCAAAAAATCTTACTGTTTCCTGGCAAAAACTAGATAAAATACTTGCAGCAAGGACAACAGTACAACTTCAAGATTGTCTACAGGCCAAAACTGCTAATTCAAGATCCAGGGGAAAAATGATTGGCTGCATCAGTGCAAATAAACAGCAAGGAAAATGGAAGGTTGCACTTACATCAAAGCTCACAGTCTTTGAAGAAAATGGAACAGTCCGCAGAAAATGAAACAACAGGCCTCAAACATTTCATAGAAGCTTCTTGTCATGAGGATGAATTTGATCAATGAATCACTTTGGCTCTTCAGTCAAATAAAAAAAAATTTAACTTATAAACACCACACAAGCTACAGCATTCCTATTCATTTTGTTACAAGGCATTCTGAGTTCAAGGTCATAGAAAGGTCATTGATCAAATATCGCAAGGTTCAATCAACACATGTTCAAACTGATCCAAAGTTACTCCCTTTGAAATCCTACATACATTATAACCTGTTTCACACTATGCTTAAAAATCAGTGAGAAGAACAGGTTGATGACATAGATAGACTGTTAGGATACAGGATGTCTAACATTAAGATCTAATCCATGCATCTGTCTCTTAAATATAGAGATTAATTAAAAATATGGGAACAAAACTTCCATAGACCTACATAAAAGTGACGTGTGAAATAGATTAAATAAAATTACCCCAACCTTGAAATAATGCCTTGCAGTAATTCAAAGGGCAACTTTCCAAACTTTAATTGTATTGTCAGGATTTTATTACCCTTGACTACTGACTTTTTAAAAAACTTTTTTCATCATGTAAATGTTCTGCTTCATACTGCACAAACACCCTCAAGAGGGTTATAAATGCATAGGCATGGTGTTGGCAGTATGCAAAAACTTAATTAGGAGGGTGATATTAACCCTAACAGTCCTCAGTCCTCCAACAGGTGAAGGATTGAGGACTGTTAGGGTTAATTAAAAACAACAAGCAAGGGTTCAAGGACTGTGCCTTGGGGAACGCTGGATACAACAGGTGCACTAGATGAGAATGATCCTTCAAGCATGACCCTTTGATAACGGTGAGTCATGAATTTCTTGATCCAGGTGTGTGTGAAGTGATCCTCTGATGTCTAAGTAGTCTAGTTTGAACGTGAGTCTCTGATGTGGGACTTTGTCAAAAGCTTTGCTGAAGTCCAGTAAAATAAGATCCATTGTCCTTGAAAGTTTAGAAACTAAGCAAAATCATTGATAAATTCACATGACGGTGATTTTCAAAATCAATGTTGAATATCTGTGAGGAGATTGAGCCAATCCAGGTGGTCCATAACATGATACATGGAGGTGATGTACTCCAATAGATTGCACAGTAATGAGGTCAGAGAAATAGGTCTGAAGTTCTTGCTGTACAACTAAATCTATTTCAAAATACAGGAACGGTAGAAATGTCAAAATGTAAACAAGAAATGTACTTATTTACATGTATTTGTTTACTCCTAAACTAGTTACCTTCGAATACCTCTTTCTATCCCCTAAGAACTGTTTCATTTTATTTTGGTTCTTAAACTACCCGGTTGACCTCCTTACTTCAAATGCTGACACCTCTGGAGGTAGATCAGCCATGACATTCCTCGCTGATGATACTGGTTTCGGTTTAGATGTCTTAGTTTCTATGGTGATGGGTGGTGCCTGTGCCCATGACTCCAGACGTTTCTCAAGTGCAGTCACCTCTTGATTCAACATCTGCTCTTCACGCATCAGATCTTCATAGCTAGATAGGCCATAACATCAAGCAACGAAACAAGAATCATGAGGCAAAAGAACATATTTTGGCATATAACTTAAAGATATTGTGAAAACACTCGAATCTACATATAAATGCGTGTTAAGATTTCATTAGTTTTTTTACTAAGTTAATACACCTAGACCCCACTGGTGAAATGGAAACAATCTGTACCAGAAGACTGATGACAGACTTACATTTGTTTCTGCTGTTCTTTGAAATCATTAAGGACAGATTCTATCATCTCCATCATCTCCTTCAGTTTCTCAACAACTAAAAAAGGAAACAGACGACACCATATCCATGCATTGAAGACAGATTCTTCCAGGTGTTGTATATCAGAGCTTTCTAACTTTAAACTTACATGTGCAAGTATCTCTACTCCAGTCATTGAGCAATTTCCAGAATATTTCATTTTTGATTTGTAGCTCTGTTCTTTCTAATGTTTCTTAATGAAGTGTGATTAACAATTATTTCCTACGACATGGCACAGGTTTGGCAAATATCTTTCACAGTTGACAAGCAGCATTTCTTCTTTCAGATTTTTTTAACTCGCCAAACTTAGCACCTTCAACTGATTGTTTCTGCATGCATTTCGAAAGGATTGCATTTGGATGAAAGTTGAAGCTTTTCATGGTGGAGGTGACAAGCAAACTAGATAGGTTTGCGGTGGAACCATGGATATATTTTTTTTTCCTAAAAAAAAGGACTGCATTTCAATTTACCTCTTCCCCCCCTTTTGGTGATGTCATTGTCACAAGTAGTATTTTGAATTCAACTTACATTCAGGTGTTGGTTTGACATTACGTAGTTCTCGTTGGAACTTGGTCACACTACCACGGATCTTCTTCAATTGTTGCTGTAGTTTAAGTTCTGTCATGTGAATGATTACATGTCAATTGCAAGCAAGTACATGTACATGTACATGTATAAGTTCCCTTTATGATGTGAGTTTTCCTAAGTACTGCTCTGTGTTACCCAGTGTTCTGCTCATGTTACTTTATGTACGTAGACAAGATTAGCATATCAGATTTGGTTATTTCCAGATAGCTTCATCGTTCATTGTTTATGCAGATGCTGATATCTACTATACCTCAGACTCACAGTAAAAGACGGAAGATTAGATGAAAACAACATCAACCCTATTTCTTGAAATAAGTGTGGTGTTCTCAATGAAAAATGAGAGGTTTTACTTTCAGTTTTCCTGTCTGAGTTCAGCTTGAGTTCTTGTTCCTCCAGTGAGCAGAACAACTTGCGGAAATCACTGCGCTTGTTGTATAGATGGATTCCCTTCTCCCGGTCCAGGTTATTGATCCTGATTCAATTCATGAAATATATTATCTGAAAGCCATCTAAAGATGAAACTGTTTACTGTCGGCTATTCAGACTCCACTTTGCATCCACACTTGCCCATGTATAAATCTTGGGACTCGGGTTTAACCAGGGACGCTGGTTCCACACGTGCTATTTGAAGTTTTGAATAGCCATGGCAACTACATATACTCTGGGTTTTTCAATAAATATGTTACTATAAAGTCATCTTATTACTGTCCTTACAATGCCATGAATAAGAGATAATTTGAAGTGTGTTAAGACATTAAGTGCAGAACAAAACTGGAATTTTACTTCTGGAAACTTGATGAGCTTACATGCAACAAGAGCGCAGCTTTAATTGTCTCTGGTTTGAGTACATGTGAAAGATTTCAAGAGTGAGCATAGGCAATTAGCTCAATCAAGATGTTGTACTCAGGTTTACTATGCGGAAGTACACAACATTAACACAAGCCGAAGTGGTTCCTTTTTTAAAATAGAGAGCGAAGTTGTTAAAGGCCAAGACAGCAGTAATGAACATTGCACAATTTGCCTCAGGAACAAACACTAACACAGGCAGTGTCAATCCAACGTGAAGATGAATTCATCGCATATAATAAGGTTTACAGAGCACATGAAATTAGAGGAATGCACTAGATAATGAGAAGACAATCAATGTCATACTTTTGTTCCAGTTGTTCAATTTCTCGGAGTGCCTCTACTTTCTTGGCATTCTCGGTCTTAGTCTTCCAAGCCCATGATCCTCGTCCTCCCGTCTTATTCTCAGCTCCGCCCCCTCTTATTCCATCTCCATCTTCTTTGGCTTTCTTTCTTCGTCCACTGTCTCGCCTCGCTTTGGCACCTTCCAACTCAGCTTCACCCTTCAAATTCAAATTTGGCAAGTCAGGTTGGCATAGTGTTTCTTTCCTTGCCTTCCACCTTTGAAGGCCTGGGTTCATTTCCCTACTCGACTGTGGACTGGGTTTTCAGTCCCTACCTGAGTCTATGGTGAAACATTTATCCAGGATTTCCTCCCAACTCTAAAACTGAACATTTCTTTATTGTCTTCTTCAATCATTATCATCTTGTAATTGGCGCTAAATTAGCTGTTGGATGATCAGAAAAAAATAAATAAATTTTTCGAAAAAATTATTTTGCATATTGAGCAAAAAACTGTTTGAAACTAAGAAGATTTCTAGATCTGGATCTAATTGAAAACGTTTATCTTTTTTTGTGACTGTACAGTAATATTGATGACCTACATGTACTGTATATATTAGGCTGCATGCAACAGATTAAGTGTCTTTCGATTTGAAACATGGGTGTTTGTTCCATAAGTGAATAATTATTCAGTACAGAATGTTTGTTCATTTCTTTATAACCTACAAGTTCGTAATAAAAAGACATTGCCCTCCTCTGATAAAAATGGCTGGAACAACAAGTTTCGTAAGCTGATGAACAATCAGATCAAATCAAAATGATTAAGGCCAACTTGATAAATGCTGAGCCACATGCTCACTCACTTTCAGCACTGAGCAGGGGGAATTCAGTATGGTATCACAGCATTGTAACTTCCGAAGAAGGGTTGACATACCACAATGTGTCCACTTTGAGAAGTTTTCATTGGTCGATTTCATAATTGCAGGATTCAGCAGTAATTGTCGTGATTGTAGGAAAGCTTAGTGAATACACAAGCCTACATGTACATGTATGCTGTAGGCATGATGGGGACGAGTTTGTTACACCCCAACTATAGCATAAGTCCCAACTATAGTTGGGACAGTCCCAACTGTAGTGCTGCAGTTGGGCTGGCCCAACTATTGTTGACCTATGTCTATGGCAAATGTCTCAACATTATCCAAGTCAATGTGTCTCACACTTTTCATATAATTCATATAAAATGTGGCACTTCATCTGTTCATCTAGCCCTATGACCAATGACATGACATTTGTAAACAATATGACTTTGGCACATAGTGGGCACATCATGCACACAGGACCTCTCTGCTGTGATTGGGCCGGCCCAACTGTAGCACTCTAATTAGGACGGGCCCAACTATAGTTGGGACTTACGCTATAGTTGGGGCGTAACAAGTTCATACGGACATCATTAATTTGTCCCTACAGTGGCAATGTTTAAATATTAGCCATAAGCAGTGATGAACTTCTTGAGACCAAAAGGGGGGTACCTTTTGGTTTCCAGAACTAACAGAAGGCCTAGCGTGTACAAAAGAGTCAAATTTAGCAGGCAAAATATCAAAGCAATTTTTGAGACCAGTCTCACAGGTTTGTCAAGTGATGTCTGATAGGCTTGTGCATATACACATGTATCTTTCAACTTTCCAACAAATTATAAACAGGCTAGGCCCAAATGTAGGCCTGAGGAAATAACACCTTTGAACTTTGAAGGATTCGTGGATTGAATTGTCACAAAAAAATATCCCACAGTTACATGCTCCATCATGCCTGTGCATAAACAGGAAAGGCATGTAACGTGTGAAAGAATGGGACCTTGTCTGAAGTTGTCAAGCTTGTTTAAGCGGCCTACAGTCATGACAGTTTACCGTGTTTACGCCGGCTTACAACTACGGTAAGACCCACAACAGTGAACACTTAGTCATTGGAACAGTACTCTTTCATACCAGACCAGAACCCAACGAGCCTTCAACGTCAACCAACCTTTGATGCCATTCTCAGAGCCTCAACAGCAGAAACACCGCGTTGAAACCAAGAAAGACGGTCGAAACAGCTAGCTAGCTGGCGCTAGCCGACGACATTCAGCATGAAGCTTGAGACATTTTGACAGTCTTGTTTCAAAATTATTTTAAATTTTGACACAAACTGAGCTTTGAGTTTTCAAAAGTAAAACAATTCATCAAAACAAAATAATTTATTTCTTTGTTTAAATAATAAAAACATACTTTGGCAATCTAAACAATATATAAAATATTTATATAGTAATTTACAAAGTTAGAATAATGGAAAAGGCTAATCTGGTCATTCAAGCATGACGATTGACCACAGTGTGACCTCTCTTACACCTGACACCAGCATAGCAACAGTAAATCATCCGACGAGAATCTCGTTGAGAAGAACGTTGCTTGAATTCGGGTTAAGCCTCTGAATGAGTTGTAAAACGTGCACATTATCGGACGTTTAGTGATTGTACATCGAGTGCCATCATGTCTGGACTGAATCCGTCAAGAACAATTTATAATTCAGACGGAAAATGTTTGCTAGAAAACTGGGTTGAGGAGGTAGGTCTAAGTCATCTGTAATGGTTATACTCGTTCATGTCGTTCTGGATGTGGGCGGTGTTCACATAGCCATGGCGCAGGCCAACACAATAGATAATAATAACATACATTAAACATATACCTGTGTGCAATCATGGCTATTGCAATCCGTAACCTATACATTCCTCTTTTAATTGTTTTGCTGTAACAATTTGTCTCTATCAATTATATGAAGGACGTTGTGCAGTTTTGATTGAGGACAACATGATGTTGATTAAGTGTTTTCCGCAAAATTGAAGTTGCAATGTGTTGCAATGGATCTTCAAGTTCGTTATCTAGAATATGATTTGAATAATGGGTTGCAAAGTCAGAAATTTTATTTAGGATTGACTGATACTAACTAGTGCATCAGAAATGATTGAAAGGGCGTGACCACTGATCATGCCCATCATTAACTTTTATCTTTATTTCATGCTACAGCAAGTATGGTCCATCTGATTTTTGGAGCAAACTCACATGAGTTACCTTGTTTATGTTAGGTGCAGTCAGTCAGTCTTTGCAATCACTTTATCTCTGTGTTGTCAGTCAATCTTTTGGCACAACCTGCTGAACCTTCTGCCATTGGCTGATCACCTGTTATTTCTGATTGGCGGCTGCGGAAGATTTAATTGGCTTGGGAAAAAGTAAACTTCGTAATTTCCTACAGTATCTACCGACGGTGTAGTGCAGTTGACTGATTGGAAAGATTAATTGATCATGCCTGGTAGATTTAATACTGTGAATGTCGTGCTCAGTCTCCCTACCAGCAATTAATAATCTGTTCATTTTCCATTTTTTTTTCTATTCAGCTTTACATAATTTAAGAATATTTGAAGTGCAAACATGATCAAAACTTTAGAAAACTGAAGTTAGCAATACAAAGTCCCTTATAATCAAGCTTGTAAAAATCAGGCTTGTCAAAAATACCAAATAAGTTGCACCAAATACAAGTGAACAGCTTTGTCAGTCAATTTTAAATCATTCAATTAAATTAAATCGGTTATTGTTTTTAGCGTCAAGTGCAAGAGCGAGGTTTGGACAAAGTCCCGGGCAACATGAAGTATGAGAATAAGTCTCTTCCTTTCAAAGATGGTCACACTGCAATCCTGTCCACTCCTAGCTACCAAGATGCAGGCACACCATTATCAACATGTATGGAGTCCTACGCACAACCAGAAAAACTCAACGTCCGAACTGTTGGTAAGCTGTCAGAATCTTGAGTGCTGATTAATATTCAGGATATTTTCTTCTTTTGGGGTGGTAAGTTAGCAGGCTGAATTGCTTTTACCAAACAGTGAAAGTCTTAAGTTAGACACACAGTTTACCATAGTGTGAAAGGTATAAAAGGACATGATGTGCCAGCAAGGGTGTCAGTATGACATTTGATTGACCAGACAAGAAGCACTAGTTTTTTGTTTTACTTTGTTTTATATTTATGTGCACAGCCAGCCTCTGCACCGGTGTGGTGCCATTTCCAAGAAGAAAGTTTCTTTTATATATTTTGATCTTTCGGTACTTGGTAGGAAGCACTTACAAATAAAATCTTAAAATGTTGACCATTTCCACTGTTTTCTACAGGGAAGAAAAAAGAGTTGATGGAGCGAGCACTGTATGCCGAAGTTGCCAAAGATGTTCAGGATGAGGCTGACCAACCTCCACCGATGCCAGAATACCAGTCAGTCACCCACAAAGACTTTGATGTGGAAGGATTTGTCTCTGAACTGCCAGCTCCTGAGCTAGAGCACAATGTAGCCAATGAACAACCTATCACCTTCTGGAGTGAACACAAACAGAAGATTCCGGTAAGTTGGTTCTTGATTTGACTGGATGTTAGTTGGTACATTGTTGATTATGACAACCCATCTGATAATGATGTTTATACATTGGGCAATCCAAACTTTGAGGATTCTCTCTTGCTTTATAAAATGTATGTCCTCTGCCATTGGTTAGAGATGCCCACGGGGCCCACACCTTGGCAAAGGTGGTCCAACTGCATAGCCCATGACTATAAGTCACTCAGCTTTCCTGGCACCAAGAAAGTCCATCTACAATGGCAGGACCTGGTGAAAGCTGATTCTTCTGTACTTCTTGCATAAGGCATATACCATAAAATGGACGGGGGTGTTTGGGAAAATGAAAGTAAAATTCTTGAACAAAATCTTTGGAAATTTTATCATATATTGACTTTTTGTGACTCTCTGACTAAAATGGTTTTTATGAATGGAATAAATATGTGCTTGGTCGGTCTTTAACTAATGTTTAAGACTGGCTCAGGAGGATGAACTCTGATAAGGCCCTCAGCTGCAGTTGGGTGTTAGTTGCATCCGCTCTCCTGAGCCAGTCTTAGATGCACATTTAAGACCAGCCAAGCACATATTTATTCCCTTATATAAAGAACTTGTAATGCACACGTTTTCATTTGGAGAAATGCTATTGTCCAAAAGCATTTTAATTTGTCATGAATGGTTTTGTTTACGTATTTTACACAGATTCTGGCCAAAAATCTGTTTCAGTTTTGTGCCAAAATTGAAGTCCACCTTCCACTTCACAACTTTGAGATACTTTACTCTCTCTCCTGCTTTTCATCTAGTCCATCCAAACTCACTCCATGTATTGAATACAGTCTGTTCCTTCTCGGTTGAAAAACCACAAAATGTCATTCATGATAGAGACTAGGCATTTCATGGTCTGCATAGTTCAGATGTGAGTCACAAATTAACACTGTCACATTGGGATTTTTTTCTCATCACAGGGAGTCACACAAGTCAAGACGTTAGACACACCATTCAGGAAGAATACATCCTTCAGCAAGCCAATTGATGAATATTTCAACGAGGCACAACCATATGACAAAGAAGGTTATCCTTGGATGTGACACTGATGCTACCCCTTCAGAGTTTACTCACATGTACACGTAGATATTTCAGGCCACACTTTTTATTTTTCTGATTAGGAATCTACCAATATTTTTGAAGGCCTAGTGGGGACAAAAATTCAAACTCAATTTTGGCCAGTTTTCAGTTTTTGTGATTGTTGCAATGGCAGTGTCAGCATGGGCATCAATCTGTGAGGGATAGGGGGACTTGCTAAAGTGGGGGGGGGTTATCATATCATTTGCCACCTTTTTCCCAGAACCTAAATAAAAAAAAGCAGGGGGGAGTAGGCCTACATTTGTTCCATATTTCTCATAAAATTATTTGAACAATAAAACAAGTCTTGCAAAAGCATTTACTAAATAAATAGTTAAAGTGGTCAGAAATTGCTTCAGATCGCACGACAAAACGTCTTGAATCCAACATAGTCCTGACACTGTTTGGTTTGTGCTCCCATTAGTTCTGTATCAAGGTTATCCCCCCCCCCCACTTTTGAAAAATGATTGTTGCCCATGAGGGCCAGACCAAACTCAAAGAATGAATTTTATTATTTATAAGCAACCTCATAGTCAGTGTCAGTTTGAAGTTTTTCTGGCCATACATAATGATAATAATACATGTAATACACTATTCCTGATGCTCTGGATACTACATCACAATTATTGAGTCTTCTTAGGATCCCGTTAGAGATTAGTGTTTTCCTTTTCACATTACTACTTCATTTGTTTTTAGGGGTTTTATGAGACAGATATACCACAGAGGAACAAACTTTTCTGCTGGCAAGATTTGTGCCTTCATAGAAAATCTTTCATAGGAAATTAAGTTATAATTTCACGCACCTGTATAATTGACAGTTTGCAAAGGAGCAATTTCATTCACTGTCACTAACCATGAGAGTTACTGAAGTGTATACAACCAGTTCCTCTAGTTTATGAAGTAGTGTTCCAACAGTGCTTTACTTCACATCACAAGTGATTTTTTTTTCATCTGTTTGGTTCCATCCATTGATAGTGCCTTCTTTAAAAAGTGTGGCCTCACTTGTACATACATATTGTAGCAGGTTACAAATTGTTTGTCTACCATTCAAGTTTATCATTTTAATAATGATGGGAGACTTTTGTTTGATGATGATGTGTTATCATAGATAAACTTTAAAACAAAACCAACTTTTTATTGTGGACTTAAATAATCACTGATGCAGATTCATTTTCTGGTAGTCCTAAATTGATTTCTGTTGGATGGTATACTTGTATTTCTAAATTACAAACAGTACTGTTGTGACTGATTCTGTTGTATCCGTCCGATTAGTTACTTGTATTTGTGAGTTCTGATGCTTACCAAACAATAAATATGTTTTCAGATATTCATGGAACATTTTTCCTTAGTTACTATTCAGTTTGTAGTGTTTCTGTGATATTTTTGTTCTGATTAAGCCTTCGGTTGACTATGTTAATTATTGTATAATTCGTCGGCATGTATTTATTTTGTTTACTGTTAGATTATGTGAATGTTGGTCATTCTATGTGTCTGTTGTGTGTTTTATGTCTCAATATTTCATTCGGTATTGTTTTATTTATTTAAAAGTATGTCTAGAAGCCTCGGACTCCAGAAAATTCCTCCACGTTGGTATTGGCAATTTTACATGTGTATAGTTACTGTATATTATTATTTCATGTACATTAAATTTGTTCTCTGCATTATGGAAATACATGTAAATGTGACCTGAAGTGATGTCTTTGCCAGACTGGCCAGAAATCCATCCATGGATCATTAGACAAGGCATCACGTAACAACTTTAGTCGTAATGAGCATTAGAGATAGAGATCAGTGGCCTCCATATAGAGATACAGCTCCTTGGGGGGCTCAGAAAAAAAAAACAACCACGAAAAAAAAAAGTCTCAATTCGCGCAGCATTTTTTGCGCGCCGCCTGCATACTCTCCGTGACGTAAGCGGAAAGCGCCATCTGATGTACAGCGTAAGGAACTGGAGCAGCACGTCATCTTCGAACTTGGAACGGTGCATCCAGGTGAAATGAACGTGGATTTTTTTTTCTGTGTTCATTCAGAATTAAATCTACTTGCCTTGACGAAGGTACCCAGTTACCAAAAGCTCGGCAATAGAACCTGAAAGTTGACCCCTGATGGCGCGCTTTCGGAATCCTCGGATCTTTAGGGGAAAAAAGGGAAAAGATTTTAGAATTTGTAACATTTGTTCGTTCAGTTATTTCTTTAAAAATCCAACTTGGAAAAAAGGCTTTGGGAAATATTTGCTGGTATATCAAATTATTGGAAACTGAGGAATTACCTGACCTAAAAGAGAAATATCCTGCCCAAAACTGACCCATCACTTCCGAAAATCTAAAATACATGAAGAACAGTCCAATGCGGCGGTCTCGTACGCAGATAAAAATATTCCGTTTGAAATTTCATGGTAGTCTGAAGGTAAGCACAGTCAGTGAAAAACAAATGTATATGAACAAGGAGACCTAGGTACGATATCACCGGATGTGAAAGGTCGTTGATGAAATTCATTTTCCCCCTCACCAGGTGACTTTTCCTAAATATCAGTTGAGGAAGACAATGGTAAAATTCCAACATGAGTGTTTCATGGAGTGGTTTCAGTTAGGAATCATTGTTCCAAAAATTATCGAACGTGATAGAATGGCCCAAGTAAATCCCCACAGGCGGACCCGACGAGGTTTCTGGAAGCTCGCTGCGTGACTTTTTATTTTCAGCCTCTGTAAGATGCATTATGAGTCGATATTCTGAGAACGGTGCTACGCAACTTCTTTATCTCTCTTAAAGGCGTATCTCCCTGTGGGAACTTAAGTACGTACACAGCCCTTTCATATTTCACGAAAAAACAGGAAGCGTGTTATTACGTCATAATCTGGAACGTAAGTGGCTTCAATATATTGACAAGAATATAATATAAAATCAGTGCTCTGGAATAATTGTGTGATTGATTAACTGAGTACCTTCTTCAGGGTGCATTCCACCAAATGGTTGTATTTATGCGCGCGAGCTCATAAATATTCTGTGATCCCACGGGGTTTTTACAATAAGACATGCCATGATCAGGAGGCATCATAGAAACATTTCTATAAATCCCGAATTTGGGACTGATAGTTTCCAGTTTGGGGTATTTCTTTCACAAAAATCCCCAAATTGTGGGACTATTTTGGATAGAGACGGGCGGCTTTATTCAGAAATGAGCGCTTAGTTTTATTGCTATTTTGGGGGCATCTTCCTCAAAAGGCGAATAAAACAAGATTTTCGTGGCTAACCTCCATGAAATCGAAACGAAAAGTGATCTCCTGGCCATAATCTTGAATTTCCAGTTAAAAAAACGGAGGCCAATCTCTTCACGAGAGTCAACGGGCAGCGCTATTTTGGTCCGATTTTGTACAGTGTTTTCTATGTGCGCGTATTTTGGTGTAGTGCAACCTTGGCCTTCAGGGCAAGCAGATTCAGTTCAGCTTCCGTTCTGTGACTTCGTCACAAAGGCAGACGCGCCACGATTTGCAGGCTCCCATTGGACAATCGCTAAAGTTGCGCGTTTACTTCCATTCCATGGTTCCAAGTTAACTGCGATCAATGCATGCAACTCTATGTGCAGTGCATGTGCAGTGGGCGTGGTTTAAACTGAAGTGACGTCACACTCACGAACCGGATGGACGTGAAAACGCTGCGTGTAACTATAAACGCGCGCGTTCCTGGAGACGAGCTTGTGCGGAATGGTTTGTGTACAGATTATGTTAACACCTCCACATGGATGGAGCCCAGGTTAGCGGTGAGCCGCCGTAAGGCGGTTTCCTAGACTTTCCCGTCACTGCTACCACAATCAAAGACGGGAAGATGAGTTCAAGAGATCCACGATCTCTACCGCCTCTGCGGTCAAACAAGGTGATGCAGGAACCGCTTACGAGAGGTTCCAGTGAGTCAATAGGTTCAGATGAAATGGCAGTGCAACATCTGTTGCCAGCAATCGAGGAGCAAGTTCCCTTGACCTCGGACACACATGAAGCAAACCATGTGATCCTCAAGTCTTCCATAAAACAAAATGGCCCCAAGTCAGGGAGTACAGGAGAGAACGCCATGGGTCACGTGGCCTTTGATATTGAAAATATGGCAGAAGGAAATCGCGAAGAAACATCCAAAGAGAACAGCAAGGAATCCATCAAGGCTAGTCTGTCACTTCTTGGAATACCTCAACCTCGCAAGGAAAGTGACGGCTTGAGTGGCCTGAAAAACACGTTTATACGCCGTCAGTTATGGCAGATGCTAGAGCCAACTGACAATCGGCTCTCGATGAAGCTTTTTGGAAGCAGGAAAGGACTGCAGATGGAGAAAAAGAGACTAAAGGCAGCTGGAATTCTCATTATTCATCCTTGCAGTACATTCAAGTAAGATCTGACCTTCCCTTTATTCGCTCTTCCAAACGTTTCGTTTATCCACTTTCAGTTTGTGAATGGTCCTTCCAAAATCATCTTAATTGCATCCGATCCTGCAAATTCATGGCTCGAAAGTTGTCTGCCTGTCCTTCGGAATTTCTGCTCACAGTTCTATTCAGTCATTAATGTCGTGCAGCACTCTAGTCATTGATAATTCTGAAAGCAACCATTTTGTAATGACTGCGGCAGGTTTTACTGGGATCTTGTGATGGTGTTGCTTCTGATAGCCAACCTGGTGACTCTACCTGTCATCATTGCTTTCTTCTACCAAGAGAAGCTGAGTAAGACTTGGTCAGTCTTCAATTGCTCCTCGGATACTCTCTTTATTCTGGATGTCATCATCAATCTCAGGACTGGATACATGGACCTCAACACTGCTGAGCAGGTACAGCAAGTTGATCATTTAGATCTTTTCTTCTAAAGTAAGAGGTTTTCCTGTGGCAATATTCCAAGTAATTATAGGAAAGGAATGAATCATTTTCTCCGGAAAAGCAGTTATGTGCCTGAGAACAAAAAAAATAGTTTAGCGTCGCTTGACGTGATTTATAGACTTGCAAGCATGTCTCTATCATCTGGAAACGATTTCATGGCTTCTTTTAATTTGGGAATCTGTATAGTCCCAGAAAAAATACTTGGAGTTAAATACATGCATTATGTACACTAACAGCGTATTCCAACGCGTACCGTTTGTTAGCATCTTTAGGCATAAACATTTACTTTAAAATACGATACACGGTCAAGTGTCATCACGGATGTGCACACAAAACAGACAAAAGTACTCAAGAAATACATCAGGACATTCTAAATTTAAATTAAATGTTTCTTTGGGAAGTGCGTGCAGCAAAGACGCAGGTTTTTTTACTTTTCTCGCGGTGGCATAACTACAGAGGGGGAGGGAGTCTCCAAAAGCCGATAACTAAAAGGCTTTCGATGCACATCGATTGTGTACATTTTCAAATGGGGAGGGAAGGCACCCAGGGCAGGGACCTCCGCCCGGGGGGGGGGTACGTGCCCCCATACCCTACCACATGTAGTTACGCCACTGTTGCCTCCTATTACACTTGGTACATGTGTGCATCGTCCTGCCTTTATCTTCAGGTGATATTAGAACCTAAGAAGATTGCCCTTCACTACCTGAAATCTTGGTTTGCCGTTGACTTTGTCTCTTCCATCCCCATGGACTGCATCTTTCTTGGAGTGGACGGTGGAAACGAAAACAAGCTCTACGAGGTGTCCAAGGCATTTCGTATTTTTCGATTAGCGAAGCTTCTCAGTCTTGTCCGTCTTCTCCGTCTGTCCAGGCTGATGCGTTTCGTCCGACAATGGGAACAGGTGCAAGACTTTTTTTCCCTAGACAGAGATTCCTGATTATAACTGCTTTTCAAATGTTAACGTCCATAATGACATATAAACAGAGGTTGTGGCAAACACTGCCTGAAATTGCACAGAATGCTGCTGATGTCAACTCGCATCGATAAAGAAGTGATTGACCCTGAAGAAAACAAATAGCTTTGTCCGATCCCAATGACTGTATACGTAGAGTAATTACTTTTAGTACACTGCGTTTCCACTTCTTTCATGCCATAGGTGTTCAATGTAGCTGGTGCTGTGATTCGCATCGTTAATCTCATTGGTATCATGCTGCTCATCAGTCATTGGAACGGATGCCTTCAATTTCTCGTGCCGATGCTTCAGCATTTTCCTCAAGATAGCTGGGTCAGCATCAACGACCTAGAGGTAGGCGTCATCAAATGTAACGTACTTTTAGTTTGTTATATCATTTATCAATAAGAGTCGCCGTGTAATCCCTAAACGGATCGTTGTTCACAGTGTTATTATTGTTTAGATTTTAAAATTTACCCCACTTGAACAAGTACGGAGACATACATGTACTATACCGCTATTTTCTAGAATTCCAAGAATCCATCGAATCTTTTAGTAAGAATCTTGTTCTGTGCGAATTTATTTACAAGGCACTTAAACAAATTCCATTTTAAATGTGCACTTTGATTGGCTCCAAGATGGACTAATTCAATATAATCTATTCAAAGCAACAAACTGATGTCGAGGATTTTTTTAATGAATACAAGACAAAGGACAGCCCCTCTCTGAACCTATTTCAATTATTCTGTTGATCCGTGCTAATTGTATAGAATGGTGTGTATCTGTTGTGCAATCTCTCTGTTCGTCTGAGGGCTGTTTATTTGTGGATCTTATATGCATGATGGTCTACCTGTCTGTCTAAGAGTTGATGTTAGTTTATTCTCTTTCCTCGTGTGGCACAGAACGCCCATTGGTGGGAGCAGTACACATGGGCATTGTTCAAAGCGATGTCACACATGCTGTGCATCGGCTACGGACGATTCCCGCCACAGAGTCTAACTGATCTGTGGCTTACAATGGTCAGTATGATTTGTGGAGCATCGTGCTTTGCGCTCTTCATCGGTCATGCTACCAACCTCATCCAGTCAATGGACTCGTCCAGCAGGCAGTATAGAGAAAAGGTTGGAGGAAAGATCCACTTAATATAGTTTAGTCACGGACTCGACTGAAACAATGGTGTAACATTCAACTTGCCTGAATTCATTACCGAACAGAATTTGACCATAAGTCGGTGTTTTGGCCATCTTTGTTTTATTAACTGATATAATAATGAACCAATGAAATTAATTTGATTTAAAAGCTCCATTATATCATGAATTCTAATTAAATTCCATTTGATGCTAAATTAACGACAACGTAGCTGAAGCAAGTGGAGGAGTACATGGCCTACCGTAAGTTGCCAAGCGAGATGAGAGAACGCATCACTGATTACTATGACTACCGTTACCATGGCAAGATGTTCAACGAGGATGTTATATTCAGTGAGGTCTCAGCAAAACTCAAACAGGTTTGTGGTTATATATTGTTTCGATCACACGCGTAAAATGAACACTTAAAGATTATGCCGTATTTTGTGATTGCAAACTTGCAACTTTTAATGGTTCATTGTGAACAGTCTTACTGTGCTGTCTCACATCCTGCACAGTTTTGATTTGACAAAAATAGTCCTAAAGAGAATGTAGGAGCACACGTTAAGGAACCTTTATTCTGAGAATGGAGTCTCAATTTTAAACCAAGTATTTATGCCAAGGTATCGAATAAGTCAAGATTAATCGAACTGCCGGGGGAAAAGTACTGAAATATTTGCATCTTCTCCTCTTTCCCCTCAAGGATGTGGCCAACTATAACTGTCGTGAGCTCGTTGCAAGCGTGCCTTTCTTCCAGAATGCCGATCCAAATTTCGTCTCTCGTGTGGTAGTCCTTCTCAAGTTTGAAGTATTTCAACCCGGTGACTTCCTTATCAGAGAAGGTACCTACGGTGATCGGATGTTCTTCATTCAACAAGGCGTGGTTGATATCATTACGTCAGATGGGCAAGTCGCCACTACGTTAAGCGACGGGTCGTACTTTGGAGGTAAACTGAACAGTTGATGCAAGTTTCATCCTGATGTTTATATTTCGTTGTCGCAGTAAGAATTGGATGACAGCTTGCGTTATTTGTCTCTTTTGCAAAAATTCGTACCTCCATTTTTATGGTGTGAATACACCAGGAGGGAATTTAAGGTGTAGTGATGGTGCAGTTCATTAGGATGGATTCATTAGAAATAAAGGGTCATCAGCTAATTTTGTAAACGATTGGTGTGACTTGGACAGATGTTCATTTCCGAGATCACAGTATTTATTCAATGGTTACATATTCTGAAGTGATCTATGCGATGTTTACTCCTGGTTCTCCTTCCTTGCACAGAAATCTGTCTCCTGACCGAGGAACGCCGTGTTGCTAGTGTGAGAACCGATACTTACTGCTCTCTCTACTCGCTTGGTGTGAATAATTTCCACCAGGTAAGGAAAAGGGGCTTGAGTAGCACATTTAGGCCTACATTTTTTTATGTAATTAGGGTCCGGTTGCCTTGTGTTGGGTTAAATTGGGTCGGGTCGGCGGAGTTGGTTTGGGTAAGTTAAGTTAAGTTAAGTTGAGCAAGGTTGCCTTTGGGTTGTGTTGAGTTGCCAGGACTAACTAAGGATGATGTTGGGGAATAGCAAAATATGCGCCAAAACTGAATAACCACAGAAAATGAATATCGGACATTGCCTGCTTGCATTTCGGTTTGTGTCAGAATAGACTGAAGCAAAGTCTCTAAAACGTGCTCTAGCTGTTGAAAACAAGCAGCCCGAAGGATCGTATGGCTTACTTCGAGTTTGAAATCTATTTCGCGTCATTGATCACCGGTAGGTTCTCAGAGAATTTCCTGCCATGAGAAAGACTATGCAAACGATCGCATTAAGACGCCTCAACAAGATTGGGAGGACATCCAAAGTGTTAGTGGCTGCTCTAAGACATCACAATACCACATCCCAGAACTCTGCTGTTTCATCTAGCTTACTCTTCTCGCTTCCTCCTGAATCATCTTCTTCCGCGTTTAGGTAAGTTGTAAAAATCTACACATTCTTGGTGCAAGACACCCAAAATGATCTAGTATCCGCTCTTAGCAGGAACAAAAGACAACGTGTTTTGAAATGAAATTGACAGCCATTTGGTACGCTTTCACCACATATGCGAGCAAGTTTTATTGTGGTCAACGTCCCGAGGACGTTTTATGCGGAGCACGCAGAGTACGCCCAACGAATTTCGTCTAAAATAATTACGGTCTTCGCGTGCACGCTAAACGCGTGCATGAACTCAATTGGAAAACTTAGGCCGCATCCGAATCTCTTGTGTAGAGCTAGGTCTAGGTCTTTGCTCCATTGGAAATGCGTGGAGACGCATAGACAATAGACCTAGCCGTAGCTCTGGAAGCCCGTTTCGGACACGGCCTTAGTACCCAACCTCGACTCCGTGGGCTCAGGCTGCGTGCGTGTTCCTTCACTAGCGCCTCGCTGCAGAGAATACGAAAATGATGTTGACTGGCTATTCAGGATCATTATCCGGTCAGTATTTGACTTCGTCACAACGGCGGACGCGCCACGATTTGCAGGCTCTCATTGGACGATGGCTGAAGTAAGTTGCGCGTTAACTTCCGGTTCCATGGTTCCATGAACGGCGATCAATGCATGTAACCCTATATGCAGTGCACGTGTGCAGTGGGCGTGGTTTAAACTGGAGTTACGTCACACTTACGAGCCGGATACATAAATGTAAAGTCAATCGCGAGCGTATTTCAAAAGCTGCGTGCTCGCGCCAACGTATTCTCCTCCACATCACGCACGCGAAAATCTACGTCGCGCGTAAACATACTGACTAAAGTTATCCCAAATAGTGCGATATTTAAATTATACAGTACTAGAGGTTAGATTGCTCGAGGCATGGTGGGAACCAACATAGCGCAGCAAGATCGTACCCATGGGAACAAGGTTGCTTAGTACCATCTTTCTTTCTTTCGCCGGTGAGGGTGCACTTCAGCTCAGGGCGGATTTAATCGCTATACATTCAATCCGCGAAGTAATTTCATACAACTGCTAACACAGATTTTCGGGCAGAGTTTTATTTTCGAAGTCGGACTGCCATCGCGTCATAGCAGAACACGGGCGTTTCACAATAGCGCGTCACCAAGAGTTTGTAACGCGTTTGGCCGGCAATCACAATGCGAGAAATATTTCGACTCAATGCGTGTTTGGAAAGCGTCGACAGCAACTCATCCCATACGTACGATCTTGTCGCGCCACTTTGATTCCCACCATGCCTTGCGCGATCTAGTGAAGGAACGCAAGCAGCCCATGGAGTCGCATTGTGATTGGCCAACGCGTTGCAAACTTGGAGGCCCGCTATCGTGAATCGCCCGTATTAAAAAAAAAATTCTATAGCGATTTAAGACAAGGACCGGAACCTTCACAGTACATGTGAATTCTACCAGCGTCCCTCAGCATACTCGTACATGTGAGAGAACTTACAGAAGAAACACCAAGTTCTTAGATGTGGCGGGAAAACCCTCAAAAGACTTTGAGCCGTCAAGTACAAGGACTGATCATTGCATCCACACGGTGCATGCGTCACATCTGAACATCAGGTCTTCAAAATAACGCAAAGACAGGAGGATCCATATCGGAACCTCCTGCTTACATCATCAATTTATCTTCAGTGAATAGATCGGACAATATTCACAGAGCTTGCTTCCTGGAAAAATGCGATAATTGCAGCTTCCTCAGAAGGGATTTTCTTTTTTGACACAAATTATTTTGTCATAACCGTGCTCTTTTTTTCCCAACGTAAATTGGATGGCAGTTGCCAGACGCTCTACAGCGCCACAGGTTCAACACGGCTCAGTTTGAATCAAATTGCATCGTCACAGAGTTCACATCGCTGTCATAACGAACTGATAAAACGTGGTTCTTTGTTCCCATCCTTCCCCCTAGGATAGATTGCTTGTCAACTGACTCTCTGACCGACTAATCCCATGTACCTATAAAATGGCACTGGCTCTGAAACATGGTTGATTAACTTTCAAGTTTTGACACATACATGCACCGGGCATGCATACCGTAACCTTCACGATAAGTTCAGTGAAACATAAACTAGTGGGACGGCCAGGGCGTCGCTTTTATTCATTTTTTTCTTGACAGACTGCATGTTACACACTCCCATTTATTATTTTTCTCGTGTATTCCCTTAGAATTTTGACAGAGCTAAATAGGTGGATCCCAACGAAGGACATTAAAGAGGGGTTCGGGCTTCCATGCAATTCAATACCTATTGCTCGAATACGTGTTGGGAACACTTTCCTGCAAAGTTATTATGACTTTACACCTTCATTGAAGCAGAAACTGGGGAATCTTTTGGTTTTTCAGATCCTGCTTGCATTGTTGTCACACAGTATGAAAACAAGTTGAGCTGAACGTTTACTGCATATTTCCATTCCTCATGATGGTCCCCGAATATGCATTAATTGTTCAGAACAGCTTTTTTTTTTCATTAATTTAATATATAATGAAAACTAGAGAAAGGGTTCGAATGTCCGTCTGACAACATACAGATATGGGGTAGGGAGGCCCACATGGACATTTTTTTTCATCAAAACGATTTACAGATTTAAAACAGCTTCCCATATTCCAATGGTGACGTGACGTTCGTCGTACATCATTATGTCATGACCAAGTTTCTTATTCCTCTATTTTTATTTTGCATTTGTTACTACTCTGCATGCAGTGAGCACAATAGACGAAGTGAAGATGATATGGAAGACGAGTCAAATGAACGAGTCCTTCAAGTGACCGAAGGCCCGTCCCAGACACCAACGCAGACACCAATAACTCGTTATTACAGCTCTCCTGACAACTTCCCTCCGCCTGTATGATCAATTCAAAAACATTCACATTATTCAATCTATTGTGCATCAAGTTGTTCCAATCTGTTTATCACCGGTTTTACTGGACGCTGTTTTGTATTGCAAAATTCGGTTCATTAAGTTCAGTCCTGTTCAATTCTTTTAAATTGAAAAATACCCGGATTTCAAACGTCCTGAGGCACCCAGTTTCATTTTCTGCCTTCTTCTAAATATCACAGTTCACTGTTTCCCATCAGCATTGCTGGCAACTATGTACTTGCGCGACCTTTTAGGCTTCCACACCTACTGCATGTATGTAAATTTCCTGAATACAGTCAGAGACGTATATCTGAGCCAACAGGACTTTTGAGGCGATTTATGTTTTTAAATTACACGTACACAATTCAATATTACACATATACGTTTGGGGAAAAACATTCCTCGGGACGTTGACCACAATGGAATACATATCCAAGATAGCTGGACTGCAGAAATCTAGGTGTTTATCGTGTTGATGTCATTCAACGAATCTTCACACTTCCACTTCACATTCCACCTCTGAATCGAAACACTTTCTTTTGTTAAGAATTTGAAGCTGTTATTCGAGTCTTATCAATTTATGACAGTAGCCACTCATAATAACCACATTTTCATTTATGTTATCATTTTAAAATCTCCAAACCTTTTCTGGAACTGTACTATTCTTATTAAAGAAATACCTAATTATTCTAAAATACCTCACTCAAATCTTCAAGCTCTGTGACACAATTTAACACACGAGCATTGACAATAAAGATTTTGTAAGAAAAACGTTTCACAAAACTTCAATTTTATTTAAGATTCAGTCTCTGGAAAAAATCTGAACGCGAACAAAAACAATGAATCTTTACTCCGGAATGTGATCAACACTGCTATGATGTTGACACCTGTTTTCACGAAAGGGTCTCGCTGATTGGTCCAAAGTTGCGCCTTCCTCATATACAAATAACGCGCTGCAACTGGAGTGCTACATGTATATGTCGTCACCAATGGACGTTTACATGACGAAATACAATGTACACGTATAATAATATGCACCAGTATCCAAATGACCAAAGTTAAAGTATACATGCCGACGCTGTCCTCAATCCAGTCAATTATTTTGATAAATAAAGATGACAATATAAAGTTTCACACGAATGTCACGTCCGCAAAGGTGAACTAACCAGCGGGCGAACCCACCAGTGTTTAAATTTCCCATAACTTTCTGCGTTGTGTTCAACTGAAGAAGTCGACACCAAAGTTAATGTAAGACCCGAGATAATCGTACGAAGTTTATGCTTGAATTGGGATCAGGAGTGGAACCGAAAGACTTCAAAATGTAATCCTGGCCACAGACATCGCACAAGAGACCCATTAGACAGCCAACAACATGGTAAGACTAAACCTATTGTGATATTATCCAGTGGTTGTCATTTCCAAATTTGAAGTGTCCAGTCACCAAGATTTCCATATTCCTAATTTACTGCATGTTGACTTCCCCTAGACGTGTCTCAAAAAGTGCATGTATACTGTAATATGCATTGCATTACTTTCAATATTTATTTATTTATATGATGCACGCTGCCAACAGGCGAGTAGCGATCAACATGACACAGAGGATCTCAAGCACCATAAAATCTCACATTTGGGAAGAGAGTTTTGATTCACCATTTTTGATTTTTTATTAACTCGCCATTGAAAGAAGTTTATAAATACATGTACTCCCAAACAAATAGTAATGTTCACATTTCACCAAACATTTACATGTACCGGTACATACAATACTCACACATGACCTCACTACGGATGTATCTTCTTTGATAATTCGCCAACAATGCCATTACCTGTTAATAAGATGAGAATATTCTACAACTACTATATGGAAATACTGTTGAGTAAAATCTTTATGACAGGCACCAAGCCTGAAGGTGGGCCCTCCAGTTGCTGGCATTCACAAGGATCGATGTAGAATCACTAGGAGTAAAGTCTTCAAATTATTGCCATAGTAAACATTGGAATCAACTGTATTCGTCTTTCCTCTTTGTTGAATGCCACAACAATGTCCATCAACATTTCCTACCTAACAGCTGTTACTAAATAGTCTTGTTTTCTCACAAGTTGTGCACTTCATTTAACTTATCAAATTGTTTGTTACGTATATAACATTTTCTGTACATATTCGGTTAGGTACATAGTGTTACTACCTGCAATATAATTTTTAATTTTAAGCATCACATGGGGAATTCTAATAACTTGAAATTTCTTTTTCAGTCAAAGAGAACTGCAACAAATCAATCTTTTAAACTTTAGCATCATAATCCGAGCTAACATCATTATTTTCATGTGAAACAGTCCTGACAGGTGTTCTTGCTAAAAGCCCTCTTGAATCACCTAAAATCACTGCAGAACTAGCTCCCTATTTTCACTGGATTAAGGAAAATCAGGGTTCAGATGGGGAAAAGTTTATACAATCTAAATGATATTATCTGTACGAAAATTTAAATAGCTCACAACGTCACCAGGAATCACGGTAGGGGTATACGTGTTGTCACTTTAACAGACCCTCTCAGGAGTTTGCATTCTGACATACATAATCAAACATTACTATGAGCTGGGGCATATGCGTAGCTTCATCAATATCTGGTTCGTAAGTGTGACGTCACTTCAGTTTAAACTGCGCCCACTGCACATGCATTGCACATCGAAGTGCATGCATGGATTGCTGTGTACATGGAACCAGAAGTTAACGCACAACTAGTCAAATGGGAGTCTGCAAATCATGATGCGTCCGCCTTTGTGACAAAGTCACTTACGAACCGGATACATTCAGAGGCCTAGGTATGCACTGTTAATACACTAGAACAGATAATAATTTCAGGAAATCTGTACTCTTCATAACTTTTAAATGATTTTCCTCTTGTAAGAATATAAGAAAACATAGGATAAAATGAGAAAACAGTGGTAAAGTTGCCCACTGGGAAGCCTAAAATAGTTCCCACCTGTAAGATACACAAATCAGAAGAGCCTTAATCAAACCAATGCGAAAATGACCTAAAATGATTTCAGGTACATGTACATCATTTCCTCACTGTTTGTCAAGGTGTTCTAATCCCAAATTCTAATCTCTCATTTCTGTAAATTACTTCATCAACCTATCATGAAGCTCATGAGCTTTAAAATATTGCTTAGCATTACACAGTGTAAATACGAATGTAATGCACATTAATTATCCAATAATCAATTCTTCTAAAGCTCTCCTATTAAAAATATCAAACATAATTTTTAAACCCTGAAAACATCAGTTTTTGCCACCTTGATAATTATGTTGATATGCTCTTTTAACTGTTTGATAACACAGTAAAGTCTTAATGAAAATGAACACTGAATCTGCTCAGCACTTGACAGTTATCACCCAACTTAAAAGTTTTTCTTTTTAAATAATTGTAATTTTACGGAATCAGCAAAATGACAACCACAAAAGCAATTTTGATTTACTTGAAAACTTAATTTGTTCAGAGTTGGAACTGGAGTGTTCAATTAATTGATTAATTAATCAATTAATTTATTTCTAGCTATGTGTGATGTATAATGGTCCTCCTCGGAAAGAAATAGAGCAGTTTCCAATCATCTATTCTTAAACATACATCTACTCATCCAACTTGCTCAGCCAGTTGCCAATACACTTTTAAGAAAAAAAAGACTTGTTTTTTCAGTATTACTGGACGTAACATGTTTAAATTTTTGATACATGTTTCATGTATTACGTCCTAGTACTAACCCCATAGGAATCTGCACTGTAGCCATGATCTAGAGATCTCATCAACTACACGTATATAAAGGTATTTGCAGAGTTATTATTAACATTCGGTGCTATAAGTGCAGAGAGCTATAGGTGTCTACACTACCCAAGGTGTAAAGTGTGATGGTGGCTTCAAACAGATATCAACACTGTCAAAATTTCTGACAGCTAACATTTCTAACTAGTCAGTCCAAATGTACAAGTACCTACACTGTAATTTCTTTCTTGCATGATCTTGGTCTACAAATTAGGGTCTGTGATGATCTGAGTTGTTTCATTATTGTGTGCAGTGGATCGAGACATGAAATCAAGATGTAGCCTACCACTTCCACAGGGCATGGTACATCATGTCATGTTGCAGAATGGTCCTGTTGACATATAAATCAAACTCTCAACTTAACAAAGCTTGGATGAGCATTTCTTAAAAAGGTGCTCCAAGATTAATGACTAAAAAGTGCAGTTGTTTATGATGTGTAGGTAGTGGAATACATTAGAGAAATTTGCCAAGAAAAACCTCTTGCAGACAGCAGAGGATTCAAGTTGGATTTACATTGAGGGCCCATTGTCTGTTTGATGTACAGGGAAGTTGATCACAGCTCATTAAGTATTCATTCTTCGGACAAAGTTCCAATGGAGGTAGTTACTCAACAAGCACATTGGTTACTTCTGCAGTATGAGTCTGGTCCATACTGGATTGGTTCAGTAATTCAGATGGTTAACACACTATCTTCTGCAACCTGTAATCTAAAGATGCATTGGCATAGTTACTCTTGTTAACACAAGTAGGATGCGTGCATATTACACTCTGGTGCAGGAGTAAACTGCCCTGTTAGCGAGAGTATACTCTCGCTGACCCACGGGTCGTACTGCAGCCGTTCGAGCACTCGGGAGTATACTCGTATTAACATGAGTAGCTTGCTTGAATGCACCCTACTTGTACAATGTACTTCTTTTATGTATAGAATGATGTAATGCAAACACACAACTGTGCTACAACTACTGAACTGTATCACACCTTTCAATAATTATGTCTAAAAGTTTTAAACACACCTTTTTAAAACACACGTTATTTTTCATCAGAGCCTCTACACGTACCTCAAACAGCTGTTTAGAAAAGCATAACCTGGTGTTGAATGTACATGCTTCAAAGAGTGGAATAGAATAACTCATAAAAAGAGAACAAATGTGAATATCCATTTGCTTCATTCTGTTTGATGAGAGTGAGATTATATATACAGCTGCACTGTTTCGCAGTTTGTGAGAGCGTTTAGGAGGGGTCAAGCTTCAGTAACTCTGGAGTGGATATTGTATAGCAACACTCTATAAATTGTGACCTGCAGCAGTTGGAGATGCTGAACAACTGGCATTAACAAGCTTTGCCAGATGCTGGAAATCAAAATATTCCTGAAAATTTGCAGAACAGTTTGCATTATACTACTATTAAAATCAGCAATAACTTGTAATCTTTTCATAAAATCCCAACCCGGAGAATAAATTTATTTTCAGAATAGAACGGATGTACCAGTAAGCATGTTGTGACATGCAGTGAGAGTTTATAGGGGACTGTTTACATAGTTTACAAATGCTCATTACTGCAGAAGACACTAGATAGCTTACTAAGTCAACTCCAACAATCTTCTGCAGAAATAAAGAAACATGGGGAGATATCCCTCCCCCTTCCCCAAAACACAGAACCTACACATGCAAAACAGGAGTTTCAAAGGGTACTCCAAGTAGTTAACCAGCACATCTGTTTTATTGGGGATGAACACGAGTCTCTTTGGTTGGCCATGCCCTTCTGGTAAGTCAAGGCTTGTTACTCCTCATCCGCATGTCTCCTTCACCATCAACGCTTATCTTTTCCTTCTCTTTGATCCTGAAAACAATCACATCAATATATCTCCTAAATACTTCCACCATGTTAAGCCCTAAATATAAAAATGGCATGCCAAATGGCCAGAATACCAAAGCAATATTTAAATATTTCTAAACAAATGTAATACATACAAATAGTTAATGCAAATTATAAATATCAAATAATATTATCCAAAGAGAGAAAAGGTATTGTACAGATAAAATCAGGACAGTGCCAAGATATCACTGATACTAATAAAATACTACAAGGATAGTGCCCCAAGTAATACTTTATACTATATATATGTGTGAATTGGGAATCATTCAAATTTCAAAATTAAAAGAAATAGAAGATGCTATATTTCAAGTGTTACTATTGCATTTTTAAAATATGAAAAGTGTTTATGAGGTATGCACGTTAAACAAATGGAGGCCTACATATAAGTTAGAAAACGTGACACATGTTAGAGGTTTGTACGGAAATGAGACAAAGAATTGAAGTTGAATGTTGCTTATTCACATCATTGTAAATATTCCAAATACTCGGGCACAATTACTCTCTGTGAAGCGGAAATATCCCATCCAAACTGCTATACCTCAATTTTACAGCAACATTGGTCTTGGTAAATATATCCAAGCAAAGTGGGCTTAGAATACATGTATAAACCATCAATGTGTCCATCCAGCACATACATGTACTACCAGCAACTACTATTTGCAGCTATTAGTCTGAATTCAACCATTACAAATTGCAATCTGCCTTCCACCCTCACAGTAACTGCATTAAGAGCAATAATTAATGAGGGGCAGGCCATCTGTGACAGGCCATCTGTGCTGGTATGACGTTACAGACTTCTATTAATATTCTGTGATCAGTACTTCCAGAGGGCTAGCTAATTGTGACGTAAACACTAAACCTGTTTCTGTATATGATAACTACCGGTATTAGCATACCAACTTCCACTCTTCCAAGTATTTTAGGTTGCATGGTTGTGACTAATAAACAGGAAGTAGACAGTTTTAATTTGTCTTGATTGGACTGCATTTAGTCAAGGTTACTCAAGTTTCACTTCAGAACGAACATGTACATGAACTTCACAATTTTTTTTTCATGAAACTGAAGTTGTCAAAGCAGATTTTGGTTAAACCTCAGCATTTGGGTGTCTGTGTGGTAGGCACAATGATGAAAACAGGAGTTAGACTGGAGAAACAAAATATCTACGAAATAATCAACAGTGGTTTCAAGGGCGTCTCAGCAGTGTAGAATATAAGACATACATTTGTCTTTGCCTAAAGGCGCCCCTTAAAATGTCCATTTCCTGTATTCTACTTGTATATCAATTTTTATACATAAAAACACCAGAATAATTAACTCAGAAATGTCCAGGTTTATAAGAAATTTTTTTGAAAAATCCAGATATCATAAAGATCATAAGAAATCTCACCCTAGTGAAAAGGGTAATTGATGACATTATGAAGCACAACTTGTAAAATGTTTTCAAGACTAAGAAATCTTCCCAAGGACAACTCACGGTTCAGATGCATCTTCCTCCTCTTCTTCTTCACCTACATCATCTCCCTGAGTGCACTTCTCATGAATAAAGATGATGATGATCAGGATAATGACTTCACTCATTATTCCAATGAAGGGCCACAAGGCAGCTAGACGATCTGGGCACAATTACCAAGACAAGGTCAATAAGAAAGGTTTCAATAACAAGTGTGTGGAAAATGAAACACTTTCCCCAGGTTTTAGTCTCTATTTGAATTTCATGCCTACAGCAGGCTAAATTTCATACTAACTGCTTTTATGTTTGTATCTAGTGATGAGTTCAGGACAAAAGCACTTATGTAATATTAATGACAGGTGCCTAAACACAACATTCAAAAGAGTAAACAAACAAGCAACCAATGAGAAAAACTCTGGTTTTACGCACCTCTGACTCTCAACAGTATGGTGTGTTGAACAGTAGTCACATTGCTGGTTGCAATGCACGTGTAGTTCCCTGCGTCACTAAAGACAACATCCGTCATATGGAGCACAGATCCAATGTCCCACTTGGAATGTTTGATTTCAAAGCGACCACCATTGTTAACGGTCTCGTTGCCAATCATCCAGGTGAATGATGGTTCTGGATCTCCTTTTGGGTAAAGGGCGATGCACTCAAAACGAGCACGCTCACCTTCGGTAAACTTGATGGAATTCGGTGCCTTTAGTCTCAGTACACCTGTCAAGAAAATTGAAATGGCCAGCAAGCTCCATGAACATACATGTAGGATCCTCACCAGTGACCACGCAGCAAGGTGGTCTGGTTCCTAACTCCACAATAATTTGAAGTTTAAATAACCATGGGGGAAGGGCAGCAGACTACTTCCTCATGTGGTATCAGTACATGCAGTTAATGAGAAATAGCACATGTCAGCCAGTGGAATCATCATAAACCTTTTCCATGCAAAATACCGTAAACTCCAGCTAAGTTGAAATCGTACAACTCGGTAAATAGCTCAAGTTGGCAGTCTCACGAAAGTCTTGATCATCTCCATTTCCATTAGACTTTTATTTCTAAGTTGACTTTTATTTCTAAGTTGGCTTTTATAAGTTGTCATTTCAACTAAGTCGGTATGTTACTCTTGATCTCATCTCCACAAAAAGTAAGTCAGCATTTAAAAATTCCCGCATTGGCATCGACTTCTGCGCTGCGGTTGGCAAGAAGTGTCAGTAAACAATCACACGGTGACATCTGTTTATTGGTACAGTACATGATTGCTGCAACAGTGTTAATGTAGCATTAGATTAGTTAGATCCCAGCCCGGCGATAAGTGCATTGCTATCCTGTACGGATCCCAGACCTTTGTCACATGCACATTTAGAGGATATCATGTATGTACATGCCATGTAAAATTGTACGGATTTTTTCCTGCAAAAAATATGTGCACATGAGGGTATGTCGAGTCAAAATTAATAATTTCTGCTATCTGATGGCCCAAGCATGAGACAAATTGCGTCGCAAGCGTAGTGTGGTAGAAGCACACAGGATTCAGTGAAGCATGTATTGGCACATGGGTTCCAACTGCCAACTATAGCAAAAATGGCTCCTGACTCTCACAACAATTCAAAGTACATTCCAAACTCCGACAACATGAAGCCACCAAAACTTCTGAAATACTTCAGCAAGTGAGTTAGTTCACAGTACTAGCCCCCTTTATGCATAGGTATTTTCAGCTTGAAGATTCTGGTGCACATATTTTCAGTGGTCCAGTGGAGCGCGATCTTTTGTTGGACTGTCGCTGGGTGAATTCAACATTTACCGGTCCATGTACATGTATATGCAGGCACTCAGGTCGCACTGATGAGCCACTGCGTTTCACAAAAACCTATCCCCATGTCAAAACTTCGGAGCATTGCAAACCATGCGTCTATTCCTTCCTCCATGCTTGGACTAGATACTTTGAGCGTTGCAACCAATCACATACATGTACATTTACATACATACATGTAAGCATAGCACGTCATTTCATGGAAGTTGGCAAAATGACAACTTACAGTAGAAGTCAGTCTTTGCGTTAAGTCGTCACAAATTTTAAGGTCCCGAGGGTGCCCACTTAGCCGGAGTTTACTGTACATGTATCCACAATGATATAATTACATGTACCAAAAATAATAAGTGAAAAATTATATTTTGACCATGGAAAGAGTACACACACACATCTGCAAATACACAAGCCTAAAGATGAGTGTAATGTTGTTCTCTTACAATGTTCAATCCGTTCTTTTTTGTTGGTATATTGCAAGGGAGTCACATACCGGTACATGTACATGTATGCCATCAATCCCTAAACAACGGACACCTTCCTTTAACAAAGCTTCCAACTGGATTGAATAGGAGGATGGTGCCTGTTTTTGTACACATAGAAAAGGATTAGTTTAGCATTCCTTGCAGCATGTGAATGCATTCAAGCAAGGGTCATTCACCAACATGCAAAGGCAAAGAACAATATGGAAGATGGAACAAGCCAATGGTACTGGTAAGCAGACAGAAACAGATCAAATCCAAGCTGATCTGGGCCCCAACTTGATCTGGGTCTGACTTGATCTGGGTCTAACTTGATTTGGGTCTGAGATGACTTGCAACATTCAGTCTTCCATGTACATGTCTTGGTATATTTGAGTGAATTAATTTGGGATTTTTGCCCTGCCCGATGTGTATTTTAACACTGTATGCTCAGTGTATGCCCCCGAAGGCTTGCCAAAAAAAACAAAAGTGTACTCATGTGGGACTCGAACCCACGACCTCCTGCTTACTAGTGCAGACGTCTTAACAACTGGTTGCCGGTGTTGGCTGGCTGGTTCGAGTCAGATGTAGCAACTGGTATTATATAAACTATTATTACTAATAAAAAAAAAACGTCGGGCAGGGCAAAAATCCAAAATTAATTTACATCTCCCCGGCGCAAATCCATCATTGAAATATATTTGAATGATTCAAGACAAGGAAGGGTCGGTCGGTCGGTCGGTCGGTCGGTCGGTCGGTCGGTCGGTCGGTCAGTCAGTCATTCATTCATTCATTCATTCATTCATTCATTGTTTGTTTTCTTACCACCAACAGTTATTTCTGCACTAACTATTGTGTTATTATACAATGCCTCACAAGAATAGTGGCCACGGTCATGATCTACACTGGCTTTCTTGATGGTCATTGTAGATCCCTAAAAAAGAATACAAACAATTTCATATTATTCCACACAATCTTAATATATGTGTAAAGCAATAAATACTATCTCAAAATAGGCCAACGAAAAATGCCTACACCTGTCTGGGTTAATTCCAGAAATTAGGGGTCCAAAAGTGCGATATTTCTATGTCCTGTTACCTATGACCTTAGTTATTTGACATGGAAATATCACTGGAATCGATTTCAAACTATTACTATCTGTTTGGCAGGTAATTTGCATTAATTCATCACTCTTGGAAATTAGAAAATGTGTTCTGAACTTCACTTTCAGATATGACAGGGACACACACAAAAAAATTGACGCCTAATTTCTGGAATTACCCATGTACAGTACATGTATTTATATGTGGCTCAACTTTTTTTCCCTTGAAGCTAAATTATCAAAATAAACTGTAAATACTAAGTCTGGAAAAAAGTCTCCACCACTGGCTTTTGGTGACAGTTTGACTAAAAACCTTTGGGGTCACGGTTAAACTATGGCTTATCCCAATACAAGTACAACTGCAGTACATGCATTGGAATGTACATGTACAGTGTATATGTTATACCATCTGAAAAAGCTTTTCAAATCTTTTCAAAGTTTTATAATATACTGACTTAATCAGAGGGGTTAATTTCAAAAAAGTAAAGCAGCCAACTGCCTCTCAGTCAAAAACAATCAATTTGATTGTGTAATTACTAATAACCACAGAGAAATTTTAAGATTCATTTATAAATATTCAACTAAATTTTGTACCAAGCAGGACCTGAAAATCCATCAGCTCAAAATAGTTTGAAGACCAACCTGAATTTCAATCTGAGGCAGTCGCTTATCAGGAAGAACGAACGTCCCGTTCTTCCTCCAGGTGACTTCATAAGATGCACTGCCATCTACCAAGCAGGTAAATTTCTTGTCTGTTTCTCCGTCAATGACACGACTGCCGTTGATCTCCACAAAACCATCTACAGATGGAGGGAGGGACAACCCTTGTTAAGATTTTGCAAAGGAATCACCTTCCATGTTCAACATACTGTATGCTACGGTACTCACTTTTACAAAGTAACAGATTATCCTAAACTTGCAATCGCATCGATGTTTGCACTCTTTAAGAGTTTTTGAAAAGTTGGTTGAGTTAAAATGATTATATGCCGGTTACAAATTGCCATTGACAGTTCTTACAAACACAACCAGTGAAACAAAAGAAATATTAAATAGCAACTTACCATAGTTTACTGTCAGAGCTCCCTCAAATCGGGATGAGCCATATTTACAAAAGTAGCTTCCTGAATTGTCAACATGAACATCCAAGACCCGGAGTGTACTCTCCACAGCATCAGCCAGATATACAGTTTTTATCTTAAAGCCAGTAGTGCCATTAGTGATTGGAAACAGTTCGTTTCCCTCTCCGTCTTCTTTCGTCCACTTTATCTCTTGACCGGCTTCAAGGGGTGTGGCTGTGCAGACAAATTCCGCATTATCCCCTACTGTAGCAGTGAGTACCGGAGGTGCAACTTTCACTGTAAAAAATGAAAAAAAAAAAGGTTTCATGATTAGCCAAATTTCTTGACAATGGGATAATCTTCCTATTCTCAATGTTAAAGGGGGAGGCGATGAATATGTACAATAAAACACACAAACAATTTTCTTTTAATTCGACAAATGGCAGGCCAAACAACTTTGCGAGGTTTTCAGAAGTACATGTGTACAATCCATTAACTCTGTGCTAATGATCCCTCTCTATGGACAGCTCATCAGGAAATTCCTACCAATAGGCAGAAAACAGTTGGACAAACTGTAAACGACTCAAACAAATTAACAGGTAAAACTTATAAGAGAAAATCTTCCACAAGATCAGAAGTTACATGTGTACATATACATTTGTCTACTCTACCGGGAAGAAGTAAGATGTCTTGCATTACAATTTGTCCCCTCTGTCATGCCTTGTAAATCAAACTTGTACCCAGGATATTCTACAAAGTGCACAAACATTGTATTTTAGTTCCACACATGACTGTAACTCTAACAATCATTATTTTAAAAAATGAGTTTAAAAACTCTGAATTACAAACCCAAACACACAAAATTTTGGTTAGAAGGGTACATGTACAAATTTATCTAAATTCCGTAGACGCTATTGATTAATTTTTAACAACTGATGCAATTAAACAAAGGGATGCAGACATCAAAAGCAAAAGTCAGATTCCTTACCATTACCACTACCCATTCCACCTGACGCTTCTATATAACAGCAAGACATAGAAATGAAAGATGAAATCATGACACCAGATGGTTAGAGATCATACACGTAGGGTCACATTCACAGAAATAGATCAGAAGAAAGTGACCATTGTACACGTGCAATTAGCCTCAACCTCCCTACTAAGTACCAGGGTCTTTTGGGCAGGAGAATCTCTGAATACATCAACATCATGCTTGAATGCAACCATATATTCTTGGTGTTGCTCGTAAGCATCATAGCAATGCAAACTACTCATTCAATATCATTTTCACATAGCCTCTGCCACATCCTTTCCTTAAAGGAACGGGTACATGATGTACCGGTATAGGTACCACATGCAGGTGCAGGTTGATTTCTACCATTAAATAGTGCCCTTGTGTAAAACATTCCCCTCTTAGGAAAAAAATATCTAGGATGCTCCTTTTCACTGTTTCAGTTCCTTTGGGATACATGTACCCATAAAGGCAATGATGTAGAGCTTGTAAAATAAAACAACTCAACCAATTAGAAGGAAGGATCTCTGACCAATCTTGTTGGAATCAATGCAGACAAATATGTATACATGTACATGTAATCTACATGTATGAACATGGGACTGTGCTGAATATTTAAAAATGTAATAAAACTTCAAATAATCAAAATTTAATTTTGGATTTAAATATTCCGAAGTAAAATGATTGATAAGCCTACCTATGAGGCCAGTACACATGTACATCAATTACTTTTGCTCCTGTGTACCAATTTCAACTTCTAAACGAAAAAAAACAATGCCTCACAAGTAGCCTGCAGTATACATGTATATCACCTGTAAATGTGTCAGCCAAATACCCGGTACATGTACAACTCTAAAACCACCCAGAAAGGTTTCACTTGGTCCCACGCTTCAGTCAAGTCTCGTTGTAACAAGGTTAATGGAACTACAATCCTGGACAAAATTGTTGGGACACTTGGCAATAGCTATACGCTCTCCAGCCCCCCCCCGGTCAATGTTGTCATGTCCAGCCGGAGCACAGACCATGCGCATAGACCTAATAGATTTGTCCAGGATTGTTCGAGTTTACCATGCCTGTTTGTGTGAGTGGGGAGGGTCTGGTTACTTGGAGTGTGCAAAATATATTTTGGCATTGGCTGATTCGACTGAACACTCGGAACTTGAAATGAACAACAAATGCACTGAATTCACCCTCAAAAAATCACAAGCATTGTCATGATAGCATCATTATCTCCACTCTCACCCCATGAACAGAGTGGGTAGCACGCTCTAAAATACATGTAACTGGGTACGCGCACACTACACACAAGGCACACTGCCAACGGCAAGCCACAATACTTTACTAAAGAACTTGAGTCTTTCCCCCTTTTTTTCACGATTTTTCTGGATCATCGCTACATTTCTCGACAAAAGACGGAGAAACTAAAAATCGGAAATGCCACACAATTTTATGGCGTGTCCAGTCCTACATGTACATGTACAGTTTAAGTTTAAAAAAAGGAGTCTCTTTAGTACAGATATCCCACGATACGCTATGGTGCATGGTGTACGACCAAGAGTCAAAGGTTCCTCACCACATGTACACGTATACATGGGTGAGATTTAGTTTTGTCGAGTACATGTACATGCATGAGTATATGTACATGTACATGCATGTACATGGTCTGTACACTGAACTGGCAAGTCATCCATGGAATGACCTGAACCATGCCCATACCCAGTTGGGCCAAGGACGAATCTACATTTACATCTACATGTGTACACTCTGAGTGGGCACTGCTTTTTACAACCATTGAACTAAAACTGCTCAGTGCTGCAGCATACAAAAGGCTCTTTGGACTGGCACTGAATAATGGTCATTGTACCCTGGTAACCCACAACTCACAAACACCATAGACTGCTGAAATGCAGTAAAACTTCATTGTCTCTGTACATATGCATTAACGTGGGGCCTTCAGAGTACCATAGATCAACATAAGCTACATGTACATGTACATGTCAGTGTGTTACCTGTACACCCACCATGTCTCACAACTCAACAGTGCAAAATGCTATCTCCTGCCATGCATTCACGTCTACACATTTTATCAGTTTACACAATGACAGTGTGTTGTGTGCAACACACGTTTTCAAGAAGATACCAGTGAAATAAGCAACGTCCAATCAGCATTTTTCTTTCTTATAAACCTCACTGGATTCATGTGTACATATTCATGTAGCTGAAATGGCAATCAACCACACGTTCATGACTCGTTCAAGATAGTACTTAAGAGCTTTCTTTTCTCAAAAGCCTTTGATCAGTGAATTGATTTTTACACATGTTCTAGAAACAACTTGTTGCTTTGAAACATTGTGGAAAGCGCATTAAAATGTTGTTATAGTTATAGCTATGTAAATGCATGGTATAGTAATGTACAAGGTACCAGCACATGTACCGGTACACATGTACATGTACCATTGCATGGTATGATCAGACACGCCTGCTCAATTTAATGTGATCTCCTTCATGACGTACATGAGTTATAACACTGAACATGAGCATTCACATACACTGGTAACGGATATTACATGTACTCTGTGAGCAATAACATATTACATCTATGAGGCAACCGTTGTCCCAAGAGCAACCTGAGGGAAAAAAGCAGCCTTGATATTAGGTTCTAAAAGTAAATGTGAAAGTAAATGTACATTTACTAAAAGTAAATGTACATGTGTGTCAGTGCAAAGCTTGCAAACACATAAACCAAGACAACATATGTACTAACTAGTACATGTGTGTATGTTCCTCGGTGTGGCAGACAAGTACATACACATGATCTGACATGTACATGTACATACATGTACATGTACTGGTACCCGTGCTGAACATCTTCCAACTAAGAGGTGTCAACCATTAAATGTAATGTAAACTTTCATCCATTATAGTTCCAACTGCAACAAGTTTATTTTGAAATTTGTACCTGAAACACACAATTAATTGTGGGTACTACACACCTCTTGACATATTATGGGGACCAAAATCATATTGGGGACAAATGTTGTTCCCACCATTTGCTCCCAACTTTCCTAACAAAAGAAACTGTCTTCTCCTTCCTCCATGCCTAAACACAGTAAAGGCCTACCCACATTAACATGTAAGAGTGGCATCTGCTTCCTTTTACTGGTGTACAATGTACTTTTGTTATGCATGCAGTGTACAGTAAAGTGTATGTGCTTGTGAATACCCTGTGACAATTTCGTGAAATGTGTTCCCATAATCACAGACATGGAAGAGCTCTGTGTACAAAAATTATGCAAAGGTCAGCATACAGATTAAGAGCAACAATCTTTTTTTAAACTATTATGTTGTGACTGCTTTCACCATAGGCCAGATCCAGTTTTACATGTAATCATTACAGTAGTGTTATGGAAGTTGCCAGACAATCTGCAATATGAGTCTACTGAACATAGAATGATTTACATGTAATGTGAAGGGTCTTACAAGCACCAATGTGTGTTGTGGGAACACATTTCAACGAGCATTACTAGTAAGATCCAGTACGTCAAAGGTAACTTACCAGTGGCATTGGGTGAGGGTGTGCCTTTTGTACATACACACATAAATGTAAATAAAACAATTCATAAATGCATCCTGTCAAAAAAGACTTGTTGGTAATTTTAAGCCATCACTCAGCATGAAGAATGAAAAAGACTATGCAGAATTAAATATAGCGAGGAAAAATGCAAAATGAAATTAGTAAACAATAGCAACTTCAAGGCTGAGGCAGATGATGGGCTAGTATCAAGGTAAGTTCTCTACATACATTGTACATGTACATGTAGAGTATACATACAGTGTACATGATGGTCAGATGATATGCCTTTTAAAGTTACAGTATCACACTTTCTAAATACACTATTGATGTGTGCATGACATGAACACAATACATGTGGCGGTATACATGATATCATGTCAATCAAAATAACACCTGTTCCACTTCCCCTTCTTACAGCACCTGTACTACAAGGAATGTACCATGTCATTGATTAATTGATACCACGGAATATCAGAATAATGCATGCAAGTTCCTAAAAACATTGCCTACAAACATCCTTCCTGCCTCAATTTCAATCACCCAATTGTACGTGTATATGATCAAAATTAAACAAGGTGATTTGTAGAGTCTAGTTATTTGGACTGTAGAATCCTAATTACTTAATTTTACCCTCTTTTTTGCATCATCACAAAACCTGTTGAGTGATGTTTACACAATGTTCAGTTCAGAGTCTTTATTTACAAAAAATGTGCGATAAAAGTAAACTCAAATCATGAACACAAAAAGTGTTTGTGGGTGGAGGCCTCAATGAAGCATGGCTTGTTAAGAACTCTACATGTAGATACCCCCACTCATATTCATGACAAAAACAAAGTCAGACACATGTGACCATTAACAAAGAACACAGTATTGTAACTTAATGAGAAAATTCAGTGCAAAATACAGTACATATAATTATTATCAATATCCAACCATAACATACCCCTGAAAAAAAAACTGTTTCTAAAATAACTAATTAACTGGCTATGCTTTCATAAAGTGTCGACACAACTCCACAGTTCGAACCCTTTCTGTTTCACAGTCATTTCAGAAATTGTAGTACAAGCATAAGGTCCATTCAATTATCGACACTGCTTTGTGAACTTCTACACTCTGTTGACATTGGCTTATATGTATTTAGATGTTCGTAAAAACTCTCTTCTTCCTGTCTTCAGTTTTACTTCATTTTATCTGTTTTAAGGTGTCGATGGGGGCCATGTTATTTAGCATCAACAAGTGTCAACAAATTATTCCAGCATATTCAAACATTCATGTACACGGATGTGTGCATACATACATGTACATGTAATGTGTAAAACTTGGTATTTAATCAGCTCCTAAATGTCATATGCAATTTGGATACATTATATTTATTCAAATGACATTTTGCATGAACAAGCATAAAAAAGTGCCGCTCCTGCGGCCACACTAGCAGCCATTCTCTTTATGTGCAGTCCATCAAAGAACGATAGTCGCCTTCACTCGTTGTGTCATTTTTTTTCTCTATGAATCAACTTGTAAATTTGCCCTTTTTTATTACATAACAGCAAAAGTGAGAGTCTCCCGAAACCTTAGAGTGCAATTTCAAATTGTGGATGCTTTGTTGACACTCGTAAACACAACCAATTGGGAGCATATTGACCATGTTTGGGCATGTTGACAATGACAGCGTTAGGTTCTGCACTTTAGACTGGTTGTTGTCGTCCCCTTCTGTTGAATGAATCTGTAGCACTGGGTGATGGATCCAGCCCAGTCTATGTATGATCTTACAGCATTTTTTAAACGAGTGGATTCAGCTTAGACTTCAGTTTTGCTGGTGCCAGGCAGAGCTTGAATATGTGGTTTTGAACGCTACTTCAAAATGGCTGGGACCAGCGAAACCAAAGTGTAAGCTGAATCCGCTCATTTCAAAAGTGTTCTTAGATTTCTTTTTCCTTTATTCAAGTTAATTTAACAATCAACCATGAACATGTAAATAAATTGTAATCCTGCAAGGGTATAAATCTAACAAAAAGAAAACTTTTGAGAAAGATTCTGCTAGATCAAAATATCGGGCCCTACGACTTTTGTGAAAAGAAAATATATCTCTCATGTCTGTGGAAGGCAGTGGTTGAAATAACAGAATAAAAAAAAAAACCAAAAAATAGATTATTTACATGTATTTCAGGCTTGCTAAGTGAACAGTCGAGGACCCTACTGTAAATTGTGTACCTTGTCAAAACTTCAAAGTTAAAGGACATGTAGTGTGCAGGCATCAACAAGGCACCAAAGTACCCCTAGAACTATGGAGTACAAGCTCCATGTAACAACTGGCATAGCTCTCCTGTGCCGAAAAGTTGCTGCTCTCATGGTCGTCTGACTTTGTCATGCTTGTGGAATCCGAAATTTAACATTAGGGCCTCTCACTTGAGCAATTTAATGTAGGGCCTCCAATCATAACAACAGAAGATACATGTTTGAGTTCCATATAAAGAAAACACTTAATTTCCCTTGAAGGGGTTTGTACGTAAGCCAAAACTTTAAATTCAGCAATGAAAAACAGTGAACATGGCGAAGCATTAGGCTTAGGGCTGGCCCCACTAGTGTGGCACGGACTCTCACTCCCGATCCATCCTTAGCCACACATCCGTATGCGTAATTTCGCGTTGGCGTACTGAACATTTTCGACGCACCCATGTCAAGACATATGTAATAAACAGACTGAGCGATAAGATACTACATGTACATGTACCAACGGGCTCTTCCAAAACTTTGGTAGCAGTTTAGATGTCTTGACATGGAACAGCTGTTGAGACGATGAGGGGTCAAGTGACGTGTTGTTCAACGACATTATTTTAAAGATGGCGACTGAGAGAGCGAGCCGTTAGATTAAATGGATAAAGGCAAAAAGACTGGAAAATACCAGAATAACGTGAGTGAAATCATTCAATAAATGGTTTTTAGAAAATGGAAAGGTCAAGGATCATGTTCGTGTGCAAAAGAAATTGCGCCCTCGATGATAAGTGGGTGCGCCGAAAATGTTCAGTACGCCGACACAAAATTGCGCATTAGGACGTGTGGCTAAGGATGGATCGGGAGTGAGAGTCCGTGCCTCAGTAGTGGGGCTAGCTTAGGGCCAACACTTTTTTCAGAGCAGTCTCATTCGGATTTGTGCACAGGGTGTCAATTCATGCCCATGTATGGATTTGTCTCCCAGTGGAATTTCGTAATCGAGTTAAGGCTGCGTATTAATTGACTACATAATTAGTACATGTACGGGATCATGATGGGGCAGACTGGAAATGCATTTCGTTCATGGACCGTGTTGGTAATCATGTGCATGTTAATAATGCAACAACTTACCTTCGCCAAGGCACAGCGATACGAACCCACCTACTAACAACACCAATAATCTCATCTTTCCCGAATTTTGTCTGCCACTGAGAAAATGCCGAAGTGACGCCTGATCCTTCTCGACACCACCACAACTTTATTGCGCTGACGAAATAAAACGCAGATCTTCAGAGATAGGCCTAGCTAGTAATATAATGCAATTACAATCGGTCGGCGACATAAAGCTAGCTAGCTGGCTGGTAGTAGTGGTCTGTTCACGGACCTATTTCTTTATGTATTTGAAATCAAATTGAGGCCATGACCAGACCACAACCAATGGCGGAATATAAAACTCGGCTCTGTTTCATTCATGGCTTAATAACCCTCGAACTTGAAGTTATTAGCTCAAAAAAGAAACATTCAGAGCCGTCATTGTATCATAATGTAAGTTTTGAAATGCCAAATAATAGAATTTTTGTATATAATTTTGGCACTATAGGTCTTTATTTGGGGGTCGATTTTAGAGACGGCACAGCTACGGCGACAAAGCCGATAATTGAAAAACTGTGCTTAACAAGCCGTGCTATTTCTAGACTGGTGTGCTATCCCACAGAGACTTCTGACGAAGTAGAAGGCGGGATGTATAGGGCGGGGCTGGAAGGAGTGTAGAAAAACTCGGACAAATTTAGAGGAATCACTTTTGGGACAAATTATTACATCACTGCAGGAACGCAAGAATTTTAAGGCAGGTTCACACATTCCAGAATCTGAATTACCAAATACAGCAATTTTTGAGGAAATCAAGGAGTTCTTTCTTCGCTGTTTGTGATTTTGCAATTTAGGGTTTTTAGTCATGCGATGGGAGAACTACTTGATAATGATAGTGATTTAGTTCACTTTTTAGTAATCCCGCAGGGGCATGCAACTGTAAGTTGGTGTTTGGGTCTTAGTCTTTTATAAGGTTTGATGTTATATTTTAACTTTGTCTTCTTTATGTCCATACTGTATGTAATTTTTTTTTGTAAATTTGACCTGCGAAATAATAAATAAAATGAAATGAAGTAACCAGCGGTGCAACCATACCCTGAGATGGTCCCAAATGGTCGAGTGCTGTTAGTCGGTCTATACATGCAGTCAACTGTAGACGTCACTCGAACTTCAGTACCCTCTGGTGCTGAGTAATTCGGACTCATGTCGAATCATAACAAGTGTACGAATATTGTAACTTGCGAATAAACGCAGATTTGGAGATTGGCAAAGTATCGTTCTGGATGACTCTGGAGTTATTCGTATATTATTCTGTGACAAAATTACTACAATTTGGTTTTAGTTTGCATTAAATTGCATCAATCAATCATCAATCAGCTTCAAGTTAATACGGCTTCCAGTTCGTGCCTAGTTTTTGATTATTTTGTTAAATCTTAAAGTTGTTCTCAAAAACACTATTAAATCATGGCTAATCATGAACAGCGCCCTCTGTTTCATGCCCCTGCCAGCTTGGTGCCACATCCGTCATAATTATCTGATTTTAGTCAGGCGATAGAGAGATTTGCTAGAATTTATTCGGGCGTATACGTGTACATGTATATGAAACGAAAAGTGTGTGCTCAACATAAACAATGGGAAGAATAACTTCATTCAGTGACAGATGACATGTCCATTCAACTTTGGCTTTTGTATGGAATTCAATATCAGCCGTCGTGCGTCGTCTGTCGTGCGTCGCCCGTCGTGCGTCGCCCGTCGTCCGTCG